CCCGCCGCCGCCGCCGCGGCGCGTCACCGCCAGTGCCCGGCCGACCGCGTGCGCCCGCAGCCGCTGTGTCTCGGCCGCCGCCGCCTCCGCCGCCCACGCCGGTCAGACGGATTCCGGAGCCCGACGCGCGCGCCCCTGGGGTACGTACCGCTGGCGTCGAGGGTGCGTGTGGATGGAGGCGGATTACGCGAATTGTGCGTCGCTACGTATCTTACTTCTGGATTCGGCGATCTCCACGAAATAAACATCCCCTTCGATACACGGTACTTCTCTCAGGGCTCATACGGTGAAGGGGATTCGTCGATGGCGTGAGTTCGTAGGAGTCAGGTGTTTACAATTCCGTAAATTGTGCGTTGCTTAGTACCTTAAACCTGGATTCGGTAATCTCCACGAAATAAGCTCCCCCTTTGAAATACGTTACTTCAAGCTGGCCTCATGTCGCTGAAGGGGATTCGTCGGCGCTGCGAGTTGATAAGAGGGCGGTGTTTACAATTACATGAATTGTGCGTCGCTACTGGATTCGGACCGTGCTACTGGATTCGGCGATCTCCAAATAAGCTGACCCTTCGATACACAAAACTTCTCATTGCTCGCTAGGCTCTCTTTGGTGAAGGGGATCCGCCGGTGGTGCGAGTGGTTGGGTGTGCGGTGGCCGAGCGTGCGAGGGTGTGATTCGTGGTTAAGAACAGAGTAAATCGCCGTTTGTTTCATCTGAACACTATGAAACCGACGAATAAAAACATCCGTTACACAGGTCATCTCCCCAGGCGCTAGTTGCAAGTCTGTCAAGACATCGTTCAGTGATACGCGTTTGGATAATTTCAGAGTGGGGTGAGGATGTGTCCTGTCGTTTGAAAATGTGTAGATCGATGATAGTTGTAATTGCTTTTCAACTGAATTCGATGATTGTGATGTTAAAAAGCGTGTTTGCATAATTCCTGTCTTCTAGTTCTATTAATGTGACAGATATTTGTACGTAAAATTAAGAATTCGCCGATTCAGTTGCGCTGAACTTTGCGTGACATACAGTATAATCCAATGCTTGATCGTTAAAATAAGCGTCCAATTGAATTTGGCAATCTCGACGAATAAATATTTTCTTTACCAATGTTAACTTCAGTACGTTTTCCATCTCCGGAATCACCTCAGTAAATGGCAATCGTTAGTGCTTCGAGTTATTAGGCTTTAGGGAGCAAATGAAGCTTTTGTGTTTAATGATTTCTTACTGATGAACAAATCATTGGTCACTGCGAATTACATTTCCATCTAAATTGGCTAATATTGCAAAAGTCTTTGCTTTACAAATTTCTTTAGTGAACAGTTCTTCTCCAGCCCACTGGTTTCACGACTGTGGAAGCCACATATGAGTGGTTCGATTTATCAGGTTTTCGGTAGGTGAACTAATCGTAGATCTTATATTAATATTTTATTTCCATAAGACCCATGAGAAATGATTACATGCTTACACGCTCAATGTTAAGGATGTATCTCAAGCGCTGCAAAATTTTAAGCCAAGAACAATGTCATTTACAATATTCGTGTTCTATTATTTACGATATAAGTGGAACTTGCGATCATGCGATTGTCATGATCATGCGATTTAAATTTTGTTTTTTTTATTTCGAAGCGGCATTTCCTTCAACTTTCTTTTGTCAAGGTCGACTTAGAACATATCTCTTCTTTAAATAGACTGTACGCAGTGCTCTACTTAATGCAATATGATTATTGATAGTAGTGTACCAATAATGTGATTTATAGTGATTCACATCATTTTGTTCATTTAAGCTTGTCTCTTAATACCTCCTCGAACCGTATATGTTGTGATATATTTATTTATAGCAGTGAAGACAAATCTACAGATAAAATGTTGTTTTGCGGTTAATCTAAAATCAACGAACAGCGGAATATTGTTTACAATTGATAATTGTTGAACACGTTTGGCAAAGTTACTGCTTTTGTTAATTGTCTCAGACTGTCGATTGTGCTTTTCGTAGACTGAGAAAGCGCTGATTGAGAATTCTTTATAAGGGGATCCAACTAAATGAAACATGCTGGTCGATAGAAATCACCTTGGAATGCGATTCGTCAATCTCCGAACGAAGAATGTTTACTTAACCAACTTATCGTAAGGCTACGTCTAAGAAATCTTCACGTTTCATTTAGTAAGAAGGCGGAGATGACTTCACTCTACAAATGTAGAGCAGGATTAAGGACTTCGTGAGTCCGAGGGTTGTGGGTTTCAATCCGACGTAACGAATATTTGTACCATACGTAGCAACGTAGTTAATCGTGATCACATACGCAGTGTTCTGTTTTGCTAGTTGCTTGAGAAAAGGGACGGGGAGAAGGGTTCGTTATTTCATCAGAAGTACTATCAAATCTCTCATTAAATTGCCAACTAAAATGCATGTCTATTACGTTGCAGTGAAACGTTCTGATATAAAAACCACCCTCAATATTACCTTTTCTCAAAACTCTATAACGTGTAGTAAAAAGAGGGGTAGCTCGAGAAAAAAGGGGAACAGGAAACTTCCCCTTCACACGTCACAAACAGTTTATGACGATAAATAAATAAGTAAATAAATAAAGATCATCATTCAACCTTCATCATCCACTCCATCATTCATCCCTACCATTATACATAGAGTGGAGAGCAACAGAGTACCACTGACATGGTTATCTGCCAGAAAAAAGTGTTGAGACAAGTAATGAAGAAAGATATACCTAAGCATCATCATTATGCTTTAGAAATGAAAATGGCATTCATCATTCCCTTGGGAAAATATATGTCAGTATTATTTTACAGTTTTATTTTCTCAGCTTACTACGTACATACACAGTAGAGAGAAAGTATGGTAATGAGGCAGAACTCGGCAAAATTTTGACAGAAAAACTCTAATTGTCCCCCTCTGCCACAAAAAATGGAATAATCTTGTCCTTTTGTGTTGTAAATTACCTCCTGTAACATGTGTAACAAGAATACACGTTTTGAGAAAACTTAATCTCCAAATATCGATTGACCACAAAACATCTGTCTGTTGTCAACGCGAGAGCTTGAACCGTTTTGAACGAGGGTACCACGAGGAGACTGACCCCTCAACATTTTTAAAAGTTTCTCAAAAAATGGCTCCATTTCTTTAATAAACTTCTTCCTCGAGTAGCGTAAACACGCTTAAAAATAGCGCAGGTTCTTTTTCGATGAAATCTTCTAATGTTCGAAAATAACAAAAGTTCAAGAAATTTTCGGCGTCTTCCTACAACTTCAATATTGAAGATACATATTTTTTTCCGTAATGAAGTCTGTTATTCATAAGTAAATCTTTAAATAAGGTTACGTACCATTTTTCTAAAATGTGAATAGCTTTCGCGAATTTTTCGCGAATTATTATTCAAATATAGGAAAATTTTAAACTATTATTTTCTTAAAAACGGATTCAATTATTTCCTTCACTTTTCTTCGTATTCATCAAAGAACGTTAAAAAAAGTTGTGTTGATCCCCATTTTGGCGAACTCTGTTCACTGTTGTATAATCTTCTCTAATAAATGAGATCTTAAAAAAATCAGTACATTTTTTTAATAATCAGTAGTTTTCGCGAAAGATCTAGTTAAATTAATGCAACTAATCTTTTTTTCAAAAATGTCTCCAATTTTTTCTTTGAGTTTTTTTTCACGTATAGAGCAAGGGTCGCTTAAAAGCATGCCGCTGGTTTAATTTCGTTGAATTCTCTGAATTTTCAAGAATTTCAAATGGTGGAATTAATGCGAGAAAGTAGGTGCAGTTTAATCTCCACTAGTTTGGTAGTGGGCCACCAGAAACGTTTATTACGCCGAAATATTGGAAATCTCTTCGTGATTCGTAGATGAAATGCAAAAAGATCGTTTCTCAGCAACGCCGTGCCGTTTCCCTATTCTTGGAAGCAATCCTTTTGCCACGTGTTATTAGCTATCTCGTTCGTTTGGCGTACGTGAAGTCATCTATGGTAATCATTTTTTAGCATAATCCTATAGCAAGATGACCCTTTTGGAATATTTTAATGATCACTAGGAGTTCGCTGTGTAAATTGCAGTTAGAAACATTACTACTTCATAAAATCAGAGCACGTTCTGATATTTTCTGTCAGATGGTAGAAACAGTAGTCGCTTTAATTTAATGTAACATATGTTTATTTGCCGATGCTGGTTAATAATTTTCTTCCTTTTCTTCATCCATTATGCTGCTTTCACTTTCGTTCTCCTCGATCTTGATAAATTACTACAACCAAATCTTGGGCTATATTTTGTACTCACGTCTTGAATTATGAGATCTGAAATCAAGATAGTTTAGCACGTAAATGGCTTTGAAGCAAAACGTGTCTTTATTAGATTGTTCCATTGTTCACTTCAGTCAAATACCATGTAATTCAGAAAGCGACAGTAGGAAGGAAGGTTTGTTGTTGTTTTTTTTTTGCAAATTCCTGGAGTGACAATGAGATATTACGGTTAGTGCAAGGCGAACGGAATTTCTTTGGAAATCACAGTCGGAGACCAGCAGAGTGAACGGAGGGGGTTCTATGCGGTATATCCTTGGGTCGCCGGATCCGAGGCGGGACAGGGCGGGACACGGCGGGGCGCTGAGCGGCGGTGCCGAGGCACCGTAAACGAACTGACTCATGCTTGCTTTCCTTACCGGGTCCGTGATAGCAAAGAAACGTAAATGAGTGTATGGTCATTGATTTCTCTGTTCTGTTGGCAGACTAGAGCAATGGAGCAACGTATACAGTAAGGAGACAGTTGCATGGCGGGATGTATATATCTCATCTTGAATGTGGGACGAGATAAATGATCATGACGTAATGCCTGTGTAGGTAAAATACCTGCTTGAAATATATACTATATGTTAGTTGAAAATAAATATCATTTACTGACGCCTTATTGGGAAATCCGGTTAGGAAAAATTTATGAATGTTATTCAAACGACTAAATGGGTGAAAACGGAATGGGAATTCAGATTCAAATTAATACCGAAATGTTCCCCAACGATAAATAATTCCATTCTCCAATCATTGGAAACCAAGTTTGCATTATTGAAGGGAGCCCCCGTTCTCAATAAAATTGTGTGCTTACAATTTAATTTGCGATTAATTAGAGGGTACTCCACATAAGCACGATTACCACACATAGGCACTTCTGCTAACCTGACCAACAATCACTAATACATTTATCAAAATATTATAGTAATAAAAATAACAATAAGTTTTGTCGTGATGGATCATGGAAGGCAATTGAATGCTAAAGGTGAGCAAAAGAAATTTGTTATTCCAATGGATATAAGGAGGAACAGAGTTAATTATTAAATAAAGAGGGAAATATCATCATTTTCAGAATTCACATGGACTTAAAAGCCAGTCAATGTTCAAAGTATCCAAGACTTCAACCGTAGTTTTGAGTTAGAGTAAACATGTTTTCTTAAAGAGAAATATTCTTGTATTACGAAATCTGGATATTTGGTTTATCCATCATGTCAAATTCTATGAAGTTTATCTGCCCTTGGGTACCACCATTGACATCATAATCCTGCCAAAAACTATTCACTAGTTCCATCCATGGGGTAATCCCAACGACTCATATACCTCTCAAATTTCTATCTGTTCCTATATTCACATCCACTCCTTCAAATCGTACCTCTCATAATAAATAATTGATCACCATTTTCTATGTATGAGGTAACAAGACAAATTGTTAATTACGTCGACCAATTCCCTATTCCATCTCTATATTCATTGACGCGTATAATCAAGAAAATACCGTTATTTGTCCATTTAAGTGAGAATGAGTATCGATTGCATAAAATTACTGATACCAATAATGACTCATGACAATACCACTAATAAAAACTACTGATAACCGTTTCATAAATGTAATGCACGTTGTATCCCTGGAGTTGCCGGTGCTCGTTCCTCGACTCACAAGTCGGCTCACAAATTTATTTCTCTGCAAGTATCTCCCCTAGAGGTGCACCCCCCCCCAGCCAGAAGCTCTAAGTTCACATGTACGTTAGTGCATTGCACCTTCAGTGTTTAAGGGGAATTCAGTGTCTACGCGTTAAAGGGGAATGGTGGGGAGAAAGACGAGGAAAGAAAGATTGCGCGCTGTCTGTGGCGGGATTGTTAGCGTACTACTCCGGAAATCGCCTGCCTATTAATCGATAAAACCCTGAAAATCTATTGGTCAGAGCACTTGGTCACTCGAATTTTCCTCCAAATGGTGATTGATCTATCTTAGGTTCAGCTATCTAGCTGGTGTCGAAATTCCGCCAGAGTCGGTACTCACACCGTAGGACCTCCCGGTACATATCGTTCTAGTTGCAGCTTTACTGTACCTAGGATTGGTTCCATCCCACTGGAGTGGAGCTTTCTAAGCTCGGGAGCGAAAGACAAGCTCCGGGAGAACACGGGAACCCGAAACAGACACCGCCCGCGTGTCGCCAAAGGTCACTTCCTCCAAGTGGTTCTCAGGGGCGCTTTTCCCCAGTCCCATTTGCAGGCGGCTGCCCCCCCCCGGGTTGGGGGGCTTATCGCGATGGGAGACTGTGGGAATGGACTCGAATGGCGCGGGCCTTACAATGTGCAGTGTGGCGTGAAACAAATCGACATAATGGCGACGGAGATCTCTTCCGTCCCGGGCCTTGTTGCGCAATTCGTCCTTCGTCCCGATTTGTGTGTGTGTGTGTGTGTGTGTGTGTGTGTTGAAGGTGCGAGTGTGAGGCCCGAGTGATCACCCGAATCCGGTTCCTTGCATTCTTTTAACTTAGATGTTCCCTTGCATCAAACAACCTACTCTCATTCTTGATGTGAGCTCTGCCCTATCCTTCAGCGCTACGAGAAACAAATAGAACTTCTCATAATGCACTTGAGTGCTTTCTCCTTCTTCTCCATTCTTCTTCCCGTGTTCTTCTTCCAATAAATTGTCTCTTATGTACCCAATGGGCCGACGTACTATCCGGTTTTCTCTAGCTAATCGGGGTATACGTACAGCTACGAACTTGTTCTAATCGTGTCGGTTATAAGTTGAGATTGATGTCACAAGTGAGAGTGGGAGGGAGCGAAGTGGGAGCGAGAAAAAGGAAGATATAGAGAGGGGGTGGAGGGAGAGAGCCAGAAAGATGGAAAGAAAAAACGGAAGAGAGAGAAAGGAGAAACAGGGAGGAGGAAGAGAAAGAAAGAGGGAGAGGAAGAGAGTAAAGGAACACCTGAGTTCAGTTCCATTTTTCCCTTGAACCGAGAAGATCCCTTGCATCATACAGCCCACTCGAGTTCTTAATGTGATAATCTCCACCGCGTCCTTGAGCTGGTCGAGAAACGAACGGAACTGCCCCGAATGTGTTACGTTTTATGAGAGCCTCCTCTCCCCTTCCCTCCTCCACACCGAAGCTGTATTTTTCCCTCTTCTTCAACTCCGCTTCCACCGCGTCCTTCACCCGACCGAGTGCTCCTCCGCACCCGCCCGCCGAGGCACTTCTCCGCCTCTTCACACACGCTCCGCCCGCGGCGTCGGCGCTCATTAGCATCTTCGGCGCCCCATATTCTGGAAGGCGCGCGGCCCGGGAGCGCGTCGGTCACTGCGCATGCGCGTGCGTCATGGCGAATTTCGACAGGCGCTCGTCCGCGCCGCCACTTTCGCTCTCGACCGCCGCGCCGCGCCGCGCCGCACACACCGGGACTTCGGCTTGGCTGAATCTGCTCTGCGGCACGCAGTGGGTCGGCCAGGGACTGCCCGGCTCAGGATGCGAACTGGTCGTTTGTCTCTAGAAAATCACTTTCTGAACTAGGAGAAGACGTTGATCAGTGGATTATCTGTGCTTGCGCAATACAGTCTGCATTAATTCAAAGAATGCTCTCGTGATTTGTTTTCTTGTCCAATGTTCTTCATTTGGATTCCTTGTTTTGAATGTGGAAATCATTTGTGAGATGGCTATGGATATTGTAGGCCTAACATGGACTTGCTGTATCCCTGGTATGGAGAAGTTAATACTTTTTGAGTATGGGACATCAAATTCTTTGAGAGGGAGGCAATCTCCGGCAACCTTCAGCCCGTGAATGCTCACTCTGGTCTGATCTGCTCAACGTCAAGGTTAAGGATTCTGAACAAACGAGACCTACCTGCCATATTTAAAATCGTTAGATAGTTTGCTCGCTTTCGTCGTTGAGTCAGAAAGTTTTAAAGCACCTACCGACTCTACGAGTAACACCGTCCTCATTAGGAATGGAATTACTCGGTACTATCCCATACCTTCAACAGCCTCCGTATTGCGGTCACAGAGGCAGCGACATTTTAGCAGATGATACAGTTTTTCCTGCCCCACTGAGGAACGCGTGTTGTCCCATGTGCATTGAAAGCGAACACCCAAGTCATGAGTCGTCCAGGGGCTCTTCACCATTCCTGGCACACTTCTTGCAGATCCAAAACTCACTAATTCTCTATTCCGTGGCTTCCCCGTCTATTACCAACTAACCGACGTGCCTCCGTTTTCAGTGCACATATGCATTAACAGACCTCGTGAGCCCCTGCACCCTTGTCTTGTGGTGAGATCATAAGTTTGTAGTTTGTAGAGCTGGACTGTAACCGTAGTGCTTTACGGAATGCATCCTGAGTTCGCCTGCTCCCCCGTTCGGAACCGCGCGACGCCAAAGAGATAAAACCAGTATTCTATAAAAAATATCATTTTGACAACCTACCTGCACTTCAATGGCAATCAAAAATATTATTTTAGATGTGTTGCTCGCAAACAGTCTTAACGCTAACAACATCAAAAGGCGTTTATTTAACTCCAAAAGTCAATTTGTGTATTAAAAATGTTGGGTTCCATGCTTGTGCGTTCCACTGCGATGTGGACCGCGTCCCGAGCTGCGCCAGGCCGCGCCGCGCCACTGGCAATGAAGCCATCGCGAGAGCCGATCAGGGGCGCAAGGGGCAATTTCCGACGCCCATTAGGCTAAGTGGAGGTGGCGGCGGTGGAGGCAGCTGCTGCTGTGGCTGTCGACACCTCCTCCGGGCTCTCGCGGCCGCGTATCCTCCTTCGCCGACGACGTCCTCCGGCCGACTCGTTCACTTCACCTCGCGACCGGGCCCCCGCTTGCATACGCGCGCCTGCGCCCTCACCCGCGCCCTCACCCGCGCCCTCGCCCGCGCCCGCACCCACGCCCGCG